GGAGCAGAGCGGCTGAAAGCTCTGCTCCCCATGGTGCTGAGGAGGGCAGGGGGTACTGAGAGTTGGAGGGAGGAGGCAGGTCTTAGAGAACGGGAGGGTGTGGAGATGTTAAGGAGGTCAGACAGGTAAGGAGGGGAAAGATTGTGGATAGCTTTGAGGNGGAATCAGTGACAAAGCTGAAGCTGCTTGAAGCCGGGGCTGCATCTTCCAACAAGACAACCACCCTAAACACTGCTCAAAGGCCTTCATGCAGAGGAACAAGTACAACATTCTGGAATGGCCATCTCAGTCCCCAGACCTGAATATTATTGAAAATCTGTGGTGTCACTTAAAGAGAGCTGTCCATTCTCAGAAACAATCAAACCTGAATGAAGTAGAGATGTTTTGTATACAAGAATGATCTAAAATACCTTCAGCCACAATCCAGACTCTCATTAGAAGCTGTAGGAAGTGTTTAGAGGCTGTTATTTCTGTGAAAGGAGGAGCTACTAAATATTGACTTAAGGTTTTATTTTTGGTACCCAAATTTAAGCACCTGCCTAACTTTGTTTAACCAATTATTGCACACTATCTGTAAATCATATAAACTTCTTTTTACTTCCCAAATATCACCGTTTGTCCCCTATATGATATTTTTAACAATATTTTTTCACCTTTATAATGATTTATAAAAATAAATCAGGAAAATTAACAAGGCTGCCCAAACTTTCACACCCCACTGTAGGTTAGTGTAAATGAACATCCATCAGTTCTTTGACTCGTTAGAGTTTGAATCACTTGACCAAACATTGTGCTTGGAAACAAAATCAAGTAAATGTGTGAAAGCTGACAAACACGCAAACAAAARTCAGGTAATATCCCAGGATTTAACTCTTCTCCTGCTCTGCTTTAAGAAGTACGAGCAGCTGAGAGGTCAGAGGTCCTGGTGTCTGACACCAGGACGTGTTCGCAGCTGAGCTCCAGATAATCTGTGACACTTAGCGTCTAACCAGATTATTTAATCAGACTGAATGATTTGATTGAGCTCGTTGTTTAAAGCACGTTGATGTGAGCACATTCAGTGTGTTGGCAGCTGAATGTGCACTTTGACACATGGCCACTGTCAGGAGACGTTAATGAGCTGAACACCGACATGTCTCTGTACTAAACATAGAGCCTTCTGAAACACTTGACATTAAAACCAGCACATCCAYGTTGATGCAGTTATAAACTAGATTAAAGCTTTATTGGATCATTGCTGAGGGAACTACCTCCACCTTCCCTGTACCCTCCCTGTTTTCTGTCAAACCTTCAAGAACTRAGGAGTAAAGAGATGAAACCCACAACCCTGATCCACGGTGCACGTACAAAGCCTGATGAAAGGAAAGCAGAGTTGAAAGCCACTTTAGCATCCTTTCTGATGGTCAAATGAGATCTGCTCTCTCTGAAGGCAGGCGCCACGAAATACATTTCAAAATAATCAGTTTGGCATCGACTCGGTGCTACAATCAGTGTTTTAAAGGTTGTGTATTTTTATTAATCACTGAAACAGCTCACACACCAGGACTCTTACACAAATTTCATTTGAAATTTCAAACATTTCTGAGATCAAAACACCTGAAATTCTGTGATGTTTCTGCAGAATCTGCACGAAACCCCACGAATAAACCCAAACTGCAGAAGAAAAGGTTCACGTCTTTCTTCTGGTGTTTCTGCTCATACCAGGGTTCTTTCCAAAAATGAGATTTGACACAAACTGTGTTCCATTAAAAACACTTTGTGTTTTTAGGGCTGGGCTACTTTATCTAACAAGTTGCATTGTTTCTGTAAGCTGCAGGTAATAATCTGCAGCTACACAGCCACAGTATGGGTCTGAGGACCCCTTATAGAGGTGACAATATTCCAGGGACCCCCTCATAAACATCACACTGATTTAAAACTGATTTAACTTCTAAGTTCCATGAGAATAATTATTGTTTATTTGGTTGAGTGCATTATTCCCCTTATTCATGTATGAAGTTTTTTAAACAGTTTATTACAGTTTTTTGAGGACCCCCAATTACACCCGTTTGAGAACCTGTGATTTTAGGTGGTCCTGTTGGAAGCACAGTGGGGTTTAATGTGGTCCACATGAGTCCACACAGACAGGCTTGCTGGGTCAGACACCAGCAGAGGCTTGGTGTCAAACTTTACCACAGCTACACCAATAACCTGTAGAGCTGGGCCTGTATTTATCAAACTTCTTAGAATTACTCTTAAGAACGCTGCTAAGAGAGGACTTAAGCGTAAAAAAATTCTTAGTTAAAAGCTGAGAGTATAAGTTATCAAGTGTCTCAGTCTTACTTTAAGTGAAGTGTAGGAGTAATTCTTAAGTGTCAGTCTTACTTTAAGTCAGGGGTATCAAACTCCAGTCCTCGAGGGCCACTATCCTGCATGTTTTAGAGGTTTTCCAGCTCCAACACACCTGATTCAGTGATTGAATTAACTCTTCAAATTGGGCAGAAGCCTGTTAATTACCCAGCGATATAAATCTGGTGTGTTGGAGCTGGAAAACCTCTAAAACATGCAGGATAGCGGCCCTCGAGGACTGGAGTTTGACACCCCTGT